CCATATAGACAGCTAGGTGGTAGAAATAAAGTCCTGGACCTGGAATCAGGAAAACCCAAGTTCAAATCTGGCCTCAGACACTTACTAGTTGTGTGACCCTGGGCAAGTCATGTAACCTCTATATAGCTCAGTTTCCTCAGCTGTGCAATAGGAATATAATAGTACCTACCTCCCGGAGTTGTTTTGAAGATGGAATGAGATATTTGTAAAGCACTCAGCACAGTACTTGGCACATAGTAGGTGCTCAATAAATGTTTATTGACTATTATTGACTATCATTATCATAACCAGCATTTAAAAAGCACTTTAAGATTTACAAAGTGCTTTATCAGTGTTATCTCATTTGAGCTTTATAACAACCCGGGTTGGTAGGCACTATTATTATCTCCATTTTACTCATAAAAACAATGAGAATGAAAGAGGCTGCCCAGGGTTACACAGTTAATATGAATCTGAGGATGGATTTGAACTCAGGTCTTCCTGACTCCAGTTCTAATGATCTATCTATTGTGCTACCTTAATTATAACCATCTTCTTCAGTGTATTTACTTTAATAATTAAAGGATCTGTGTCTTTTTTGTCAGGATAAGATTTCCTTTGCTATTTTAGATCCCTACCCCATATGCCTTAGTAGAACCTAGTGTCATAGATTTAGGGCTAGAGGGACCTACGATGGATTCAGCAAGTTGCCATCACTGAAAAAGGAAATTCATCACCCAGCTGCCAACATTTTGACAATAAGCATTTCCAAAATTAGCTTTGCTGGTCTTCAGAGGACAGACATAAGGTTCATCTTTCCCACCTCCAAAGTTTGTTGCCTTTCTAGCTTTGTAGAACTTGCCAAGGCTTTTAATCCATTGGCATTGCCTTTAAAAGCCCTAGGTCACGTCCAGGTCATAAGAAGCCTCCAAAGAGGACTTTGGGGCCCACCACTTTGCAGTGTAAATAAGGGAAAATGCATCCTCAATTCAAGTTTGGCTTCTGCCCTCTGGGTCCTGCTTACATGTGTTGTAAGAAGAAGAAGAAGTAATGACTCCCATGTCTGTCTATATGCCAGCAGCCAGTGCCACCAAACAGAGGCTGAGCAGAAAGTTCCACTAAAAGCTCCAGAAGAAGGGGAGTCCTCTTTCCTAAAACAATCAGCAGAAATTCCCCATAGAAGTGAGGATGGTACTGAGGACAGTAAGAAAAAAAAAATTATAGGTTTATGGTTTGTCTTTCATTTACAGATAAAGAGATTGAGGCCCAGAAAAGTTAGGTGACTTGCCCCAAGTCACAAAGATTTTAAATACCAGAACTAGGATTGAAACATAGGTCCTCTGACTCTCCACTGCACCATATTGTCTCCCTCTAGTACAGTTTACTGTGTCTTATATAATGTTTGCATCCTAGCCCACCCCTACTCTGCCTAACACCATGCTCTACACACAGTAGGTGCTTAATATATGTTGTTGCTACTATTGTTCTCTGCATGACCTTATTAAGAAACCTATCCCATGTAATTGGAACTTTCCTAAAAACAAAACAAAACAAAACAAACTGCTTTATTCTCCTTCAATTCATAAATTATACCCAGAAGTCCCTAGACTTTTGGACTTTCTATTATCCTATGTCCAACAGAGCATCCAGCTATAATTTTCAGCTGCCACAATTCTTGTTAATAGTGAGTAGAGGCAACAACTGAAGTCTTCCCCTTGGGTCTACAGTATCTAAGATAATGGGAGAGGGAATTTATGCCCAGTCTACCCCATTTCTGAGTAGCAGAACCTCTGATGAAAGGTACTTCACTGGCCCATATTATGAAAAAAAGGAAATGATCCATAGAGATTTTCCGGATTCCATTGGGTGTATGGATCTATAGTAGACAAGGCAAAAGATTGCAGAGTTATTGATGAAACTGACTCTTAAAATTCAGAATGATACATAGGCCTAGTCAGTTTCTTCACTGCATCCAAGGGGGTAGGGGATGGAGGGAAATCAATATCCTTACTTTATTGAACCACAGAACTGCTAATAGATTTGAAATGGTCAATATGCTTTAGTGAACTAAGATGAGCTAATTATCTCCCTCTTTATTTATTATTTATAGGCCCTCTTTATTGATTTTGATTGGGATAGAATTGAAAATGTATGTCTTCAAACAAAAGAGCAAGAGGAGAACATGGTGAGTAGCAGAATCATGAAGAGAAGGAAAAAGAAAAGACTGGAGAGGCTAAAGCAATTCACCCATTCATTCAACAAGTATTTATGAAGCTTCTACCCGTATTTGTGCAAGACACTATACTAGCCTCTGGTGACTGTGGTGTTTGGAAACTAGGCCCTGGGCAGATGGGAATCAGAGATCAAAGGAGGAAGAGGAACAGCAACGTCCTGGTATATATTTAACAATCAGCTGTCTAGAGGAAAAAATGTAAGCACGGAACACTTTTAACTATAATCTACATTATTAACATTTTCTAAAGTCTGACAATCAGCAAAATGATAAATTTAGCCCTGATTTGTAGAACTTACTAGTTTCCAAGGTGTAAATACTCACAATGAAAATTTAACAATTAGCATTTTGGAGTACCAACACACCCTCTAAAAAGGACTCTATCCCTGGAAGGATTGGTTCAACCAAGCATTTGGTGGAGCTGGCAATCATAATGAGGAAAATGGCAATAGTTAAGGCTAGGATCCTGAGGGAAACTGATAATGGGAGGGATAATAGATCTGGAACTTCATCTTTGGCTCTGCCCAAGAAGTCAATCTACAAGCAATGGCTTGCTTCTTAACACAACGAGTTGGATTGTTTTGTTTTGATGTGGGCTTTTAAGGAAAGGAAGGAAGAATTTTCTTCTCTTTTTCTATTTAAATCAGTTTAATCTAGTAGAAAGAGCCCTGGACCTGCAAGTCTGGAGATTTTGGTCCCTAGCAGCAGCTCTGCAACTGATTACTTATATAACACCATTCTGTGCCTCAGTTTCTTTATCTGTAAAATGATGAAGTAAACTCCCCTTTGGATGATGCACCTAATGCTAGATAAGAGTCCTCCCAGCTCAAAGATTTGAGAGCAACTGATCAATGGTCCAAAAAGCTTGAGGATAATTGCAGACACGTCCATGAAAGGATTCACATCTGACTCCCAACTGCCAGGCTGATCTCTGTTCTGTGGCTCCCTCCTCAACTTTTCCACTTGCTTCTATTTTTCATGGTATTGATTTTTTCAAAGATAAACTGGTATACGCAGAAAATGACCACGGATACCCCAGGAACATGGTCCTTACCATTCTATGAAGGAATCCAAGCTCTTAGTAATTAAATTCAGAGGGGAATAAGCTGCAGATTTATCTTCCAAAATGCCAAATAATTGATTTGACCCCATTTGGGGAGGTAGGGGTGGGGAAGGGGAAGTTAAATAATTGTTTTGTCCCAATGCAGACACAACACATACTAGGAAAGGAGTTATAAGGAGTTTATAATGTGGCAAAGATTGCAGGTCCTTTTGCACACTGATTTACTTTCCTTTGGTGTTCATGTACCTTTAGTTCAAAAACCACCAACAGGCAGGGAAGTTTTCTCAGTGTCCCTGGAGTCATTAATTATCTGCCCTCAATGAAAAGAGTTCTTGTGGGCAGCTGCAGAAATGGATTGGAAATGGAGGTTTTCTGACAAAGTCAGAAACACAGGTGTGGCTTTGTTCAATTAAAGCCCAACAAGAAACTAAGCTGAATAAAAGGGTGGGAAATGTGGAAAATGAAAAGGAAAAGTGATAGCACAGCCTCTGTGGGGAAAAAAAAAGGATAAAAGAAAAAAGAACACAAAACACCTCCAACCTTGCTAAGTTTTTCTTAATTTGGAATTGGGGAGTTTAGAATTCAGAAGACTACATTTGATTCATATTATAAATAGGCATTTAGAATTCAAGTTGTTCCTTCAAGACATAAAAATAAATTTCCCTGAAGCTAAAAAGGGCCATCCTTGTGAAAACTAAATTATGAAATGGGATTATAAATAAAAGGCTGGAACCTTAGAGCTCATCTAATCCATTCCATCATTTTAAAAATCAGGCAAAGGGGGAACAGACTGGGGTGATTTGCCCATGGTCACACAAATGAGAGAATTAGAATTTGAACCCAGGTTCCCAGGTGACACAAATCTTATATTCTTTTTATCTATTCACACCACCTCCCCTTGAACTGAAGGAAACAGCAAATTATGAATTGAAGACTCTTACCAAAGATTTAGGAATGAAAGAGTATGGATTTAAATCCTACATTTATTACTGAGAACAAGTCATTTAATACCTCAGTGCCTCAGTTTTCTCCAGGACAAAATGAAAGAGTTGGGCTGGATTATGTTGAGAACCAAATCCATGACTACACCCAAGGTGTTGGTATTATTATGGGGTGAAATTTAATGAGTTAAATTGTTTTTGTGGAGGCCCCGTTTCACTTGCTGTTCATGCCTGAGTCACATTTATGTAGCACCTCCTGTCTACAGAGCAGCTCTATACCAAGACTATGCTAACTCAATTTTTTTAAAGAATTGTAATTTCCATATTAATAGTTCCATAATCAATGCTGTTCATTTGAGCAGCATTCCCAAACAAAATTATACTTAAGCAGTTGACTACTCATTTGAAGCTTTAGTCAGATTCCTCCTGTTCTGATTCTCCTTTCCCTCTTCTTCCTCTATTCTCTATAAAGAAATAGGTATAAATAAGTGTTATATTTGAATTATAATTTCATATAATTTATATACTGAATGATAATGAATTCTTGGACTCTTAAAGAGTATATGTTCCAAAGGTATGCGGAAGAACATTTACTGAAACCCTTATGAAGGTTCTTCTGGAAATTTCCCTCCCCCCATCTTCATCATCATTAAATCCATGCACATCAGTAGTAGAAATTTGTACTGTGAAACCCTGCAGCAATATTTTCCTTCATTTCCATGACAACAGCTCCCTATCAACTTCTGAAGGAACCTTCGTGTATTGTAAACAAACCTCTCTTGGCAATTGGCCTGTTTTCATTCTCTATCTCATCTCCCATCAGCTCAAAAGCTTCTCTTCAAAAAGAAATAGGTTGCAGGTGTGTACTCCTTTTTCCTTACCCCCTCCCCCTTTGTTTCTAAAAGAGGTCGATCCTGGAGATTAAAATTTTCTCTCCTTGTGTTTTTTTGAACAGTCCTACGAAGCCAGACTGTTTTACCTGTGTGTACCTGTATGCCAGTTATCTGCGGCATTTTAACCCACAGGGTGCACTGTTCTGCATCCCCACTTGGCTCCCCTTGGAAATGGTGCAGAGTAAATACCATATTTCTTGAAGTAAAAAATCTAACCACAGAAAGAGCTCAGGAGCTAAATAATAGGGAACCAAAATGAATTGTAAGGTAATTCTTTTCAAGTCCTTCCTTTAAAGACTGAAGTGGACATCATTTGTACATTGTGAAAATATTTTAGTGGCAGGAATGGAATGTAGACAATAATCCAAGAGAGAAAGACATTTTTTAATTGCATATTTAGCCCTCTGTTTAAGGACTATTGACACTTTGATTCTCAGGGCCCCCTGAGTTGTAGGTAAATCATTTGCTGAGCATAGCATAGAGTTAATGTGTGCAAGTCACCTCAACTGGGCTACCAAACTCCACTTTTTTTGAAGACTGAAAAACTCTTAGTGGCTATTACTTGACTAAGGAACATCGTTTTAAATAGTCAAGAAAATGAGGGGAAAAAAGAACACTCCAATCCCTACAATTCTCTCCAGCTCAGCACCAAGTAAATGAAGGGCTACCAAAAAAAACAATATGCCACTTCCAATATGGAATCTTATGGTGGGATGTGGATTCATTTAATCAAGGACTTGGCCCCTCCTTCTATATTTAATCTACAGTCCCTACTGTGGAACTTTTGCACGCATGATAGTATGAAGTGGTCTCTGGAGCATTTTAGTTACTAAATCCTCTTATACAGAGTCCAAGATGGGCCTTCTCAAAAAGGAATTATTCTCCATAAGAAGCAATGTTAGAGAAAGGTTGTGTTGTGACTTTAGAGCCACCTACATGTAAGGTATATAAACAAATACATAAAATAAAAATAAATAATTAAAATAAAAGTTAAAAGGTAAAAATAAACTAAAAGAACACTTTTATAGCAATTCTTAGACTTTCAAAAATGCTTTCATATTTATTATCTCATTTTATAAATTAGGGAAATTATATCTTTGCATCAGGATATATAATTCTATTTATTTTATAAACAAAAAGGAAATAAACCCAAATTTAATTTGTCAGAGGAAAACTTTCATTTTGAAAAATGTTATGCGGAATCTACCATTATCCAAAAGCACAGTTTATTTATAAATAGGTTGAATATTTTAAAATTATTTTATAAGGACTTGCATTCATTCAGATTTCACAGGATCTTTGACTTTTTCCACAGAAGAGGGAAATGGAATTATTGTCCAGTATGTTAGAGGGAAGAGGAGAGAGAGTCTGGTGCTTGTATTATAGTTCCATTTATCATTTGTCTGGATTCAAGCTCATATTTTGAAACATGCCATTACAAGAGCTGTAATTTTCTTCTTATTCCATTCAACTTGCCTCATCATTAGACCAAAAGAAAAAAGGGGGGAAAGTCTAGCTTACATTTCCTTATGCCATAAGACCTCTCTTAAAAATCCCCACCCCTCCAACAGTTCTCCATGCCATTAAGCTCAGAGAACACAAGCATCTATTGGAATATGTAAATTTACATTCTGAATGTATCTTTTAATTTTAATATTTTAACATACTTGGTGCTAAATGGGAAAGAATTGGAGGGATTGAAAGTTTTCGTTTCCTCATATTTCTATTTAAGGTGATGTTAGATAATTAAATAGTAACAACAGAGAGTCCCTCAGACTTTGAGGAAAGGGGAATTGGAATGAATAGAAAACATGAACTTTGTACTGGAGAGGTGTAGAATTGAAGCCACTATCCAAATTTCCAAGAATTTGGATGGTTTAAAGTGACCCTGTAGGAAAGTAGACCAAAAAGTTTAAATAGCTATAAAATACGTAGAAAGAGCTGAGGATTGGGTAGACTAGGTCTATTTTTGTGGGCCAACCCTAGGATTTTTGTTTGTTTGTTTTGTTTAGCACAGAATGATTTTTGGAAAAAAAATCTATTTCCAAGGATGTTCTGGAAATTCATAAACAAAAGTTAGGAATTTATGGTATGCCTGCCAAAAGTGTCTAAAAAGGTGGTACCCAATCTGGCGTCTCATCGTTGTTTCCAGGGATATCTCAAATAATCCCTGCTAAAGTGTTAGCTGATAATTACAGTGTTAGGTGATGACAGCTGAAGGGCCAGCCCTGGGTTATTTCAAAGGGGAGTATGAAGGACAGGAAAGCCAACCAGACCTTTTGGTCTTTAATGTTTCACAGTACATTTATAACTTCTGCCCTGGGCACAGCCATCTTAGTGAAGGAGAAAGAAATTCTTAAATAGGATTGAAGAGGCCAGGAAAGAGCTCCTTTTGCTTTTGTTGCCCTACCCCGCCCCCCTTTTAGGCCCATCTGTTCTAATACTGTAAGTTTGGTATTTGAGAACACAAGTGGCCCATCTCACATTGCAACAGCTTCTCTGGGGGCACCTGCCATCCTCCTTATCCCTCTGGCCAGACTATCTCTAAGAGGTTCCCAACCCCTGCTTTGAAGTATCACAATTTACTGAAGCTACTTTTTGTTTTTAGTTGGTCTGCCCACAAACTAAAGATAATGTGACTTTGTGTGGAAATAAAACAACTTCTCTTCTTCCAAAGAGGGTGATGGCAACAGTGTAAAGGTAGTATGGTGCTGTGGAAAGAACAGTGAATTTGGAGTCAAAAGGGTTGGATTCAGATCCTGATTCTGACACCTATGTGACCTTGGGTAAGTGTATTAACTCATCCAGTCTTCATTTTGTTCTACTAGAAAACAAGAGGGTTGGACTGTCTTTGATCTCCTGTTTCATCAGTTTACTAAACACCTACAGTGTACAGAGGACTGCAAAACAAGGGAAGGAAATAAGTATTTATTTAGTGCCTGCCATGTATCAAGCACTATGCTAAATTCTTTTTGCAAATATTATTTCCTTTGATCTCACACCAATCCTGTGAAGTAGGTAGGAAACTGAGGCAGACAAAAGTTAAGTGACTGGTACAGGTTTACACAGCTTTGAACTCAGGTCTTTCTAATTCCAGGTACAGTGTTTCATCTACTGTGCCACCAGCTGCCTCTGCCTCTAACAGATAGGGAGATAACACTTGTGATTCCTTCCCTTGGTGAATTTAAAATGTAGCTGGACATACAGAATCTATAGCCTTATAAAAGGGCTTAAGACACACTTGCTAAATGGTATTGTGGTGATACCTGAGTTTTGAAATCAAATTTGAGTCACACTAAATGTGTAACCTTGAGTAAGTTACTTAACCTCTGAGTTTCAGTTTTCTCATCTGAAAAAGTGAAGCTAATAATATCTGTTGATTGGTATCCCTTCTTTCATAGTTTTACTGAGGTGACCACATGAAATCCTGATTAAAAAGTGCTTTGTGATTATCATAGAGTATATAAATGAGTTAATGTCATTGCAAAGAAATATAAAAACACATGGTATGAATATACTGTGGGCCGATTCAGAGTCAATGCAGAGGAAATTAGAAGTGAGATTGAAAAGAAATCTACAGGGAAAGGTTCCCTGGAAGAGTTTTAGAATCAAATTGATTGGAAGGAGGGACATACAATATCAAGAATTCAGAGGCAGATATCCCTTTGAGTGTCGTAGAGGGCCTTGTACAAACCAAACACCTATAAAAAGAAAAGCTTGCCCTGATCATCATAGCTCTTTGGGAGTTCCCAGAGGTGACCAAACTCCATTCTTTTACAGGTGGGGGTTGGGGAGAGGGCGAGAGAATTCAGGAAGGAGGGGAAATGAAAACCTTAAACATTCAGGGAATACAAGCTGCCTCATCAGAGGAGGGGAAGAAGGGCCCCAATAATAAAAGAAAACTTTAAAAAAGCTGTAGTAAGCTTCTTCAAATCTAAAAATCTCTTGACCTGACCCATAAATAATGACTAACTCTGTTTTGTTATCCTTTGAAACATCTTTCCTGAGCTACTTGAAATAATATGGTATTGTGGCATATGAGCTGTTTTTCAGGAGACAAACCATAAATTTTTTTAAACACATTCCACAAGGCTGAAAGGTAGATAGGTGCCATTTGTTACATATGTCCTACCTGAAGGCACAGAAATAAATGCACACTCTAGGTGAGTCTGTACTGGGAGTGCTTTCCCCTTTCTGGATCAACATCTGCTAGTCTGGTCTTGAGTCTCTTTCACTCTCTCAGATTGTATTTCATGGCTTAGAGGCCTTTGAAAAACCACTGATAACAAACACTCTTTGGTCCCTTGCATTTCAATAGGAATCACTTGAAACTTCTTATCATTAGGACCTAGGCAGACCATAGTATTGGAAAGGGCTGGGAGTTGGGGGGAGGGAGGGAACTTCCAGCTCCCATGAGTAATTTGATGGAAAAAAAAAACACCCCGCACACAAACACAACAAAACAACAAAGAATGTGTTAAACTAAACCAGAGCTCACGCCAAAAATTACTTCTTTCAGCAGCACCAATGACCTGCCTAGGTACTCCCTTTTTCCTCATTTCAAAACATAGCAGTCTATTTACATCACACCGGATGGCTACAAATATGTGACATTTACAGAGCAGGTTTGGCTAGACATCAAGGCGTCAAGTGCACTGTTTCTGTAGGAGCCTCCTGTAAAGTTATGTAAAATCCACATCTGCAGATCTCCTGACTAAAAGGGTTTTTAAATGGTCCCTGAACAAGTTCACCAGTCAGTTGAATTGGGCAATAGGGAACACCCACATCCTTCACTCTGGCCAGAATGAATATCAGATGCAGTCTCTGCATAGACCTAAATTATGCTGAGAGGCCCAGAAAAGTCTCTTTAGGAAACAATCAATAGGTAGACAGGCTAAAAAGCACGTTCATTTTCAAACCTTTAAAAGAAAAGCTTTAAAGGATTCCTTTCTTAAAACGTTATTGTTTTACTTAGCTTGTCTCAGGGTGCCTGGGTCTTATGAGTGGTTAGATTCCTAGGATGAAATCGGGAGCCGTGGCTTATTCTATAAGTTTTGTTGGCCTTCCTATTTGCAATGATGCTTTCAGCAATATTACCCTCTGTGTAGAGCAGAGTGACTGAAAGGCAGATGTATAACCCACAGTCCTTTCCTCGCTGAGTACATATGTAATCTGTCACGGTTTGTTATATTTCTGGCTCTGCCAGTACTTTTCAGCCTGGCCTGTGGCAAGTCAATTAACTTCTCCTTACGTCTGTTTCCCTGTGTGTAAAATGGAAGTGATAATACATGCCACCCAACTGCCTCTCCAGGGGATTGTGAAATTACAGAAGGCAAGACTTGTTTGTGTCTTGAAGCAAAGGTGATGGTAAAGGAACCACTAAATGTGGATCATTATATTGCTTTCAATTCTATTCATTATAGTATCATAATTTTCACACATGGAAAAGATAGTGCCATGAATACCCTTCCCCAGTATTTCCAGACTCTATTGCATTGTTCGCCTCAAAACAATTCCCACTTCCTTTTACTCAAAACTCCCTGTTGCCTATAATTTGCCCCAAGGAGGCAATATGCTGCAATGTGGGGATTTTTAACTTGGAGGCTAAGAAGTTGAGGTTTTGGGTCTTTTTTTTTTTTATAACTGTACTTCAATATAAGGGCAGCTAGGTGGCATAGTGGATGTCATCTGGAGTCAGGAAGACTCATGTTCTAGATTCAAATCTGGCCTCAGACATTTACTAGCTGTGTGACCCTGGGCAAGTCACTTAATTCTGTTTGCCTCAGTTTCCTCATCTGTAAAATAAGCTAGAGAAGGAAATGGCAAACACAAGATACGTTTGCCAAGAAAACCTCAAAAGGGATCCCATGTGACAGAATGAGTCAGATATCACTGAAAGAATTAAACAACAGCAACAAATTTCAACTTAGTTTTTTTTCTTTGTGATCCTATGTGTTTTATTTTATGCATTTAAAAACTATTCTGAGATGGAGTCTGTTCTTGTTGTTGTTGTTGTTGTTGCAGTTACCAGACTGAAGAATGACCCAATGAAATCAATGAACAAATATTAAGAATCCATTCTAAGGATAATTAAGACATTAGATCTGGGTACAAAACCTGCCTTAGATATCAGTTGTATGAGACTGGGCAAATCACTTAATTCCTCTGTGCCTCAGTTTCCTTATCTCTCAAATGGAATTTAGGAGAAGCTGGATTAGATGTTTTTTAAAGGTTCCTTTCAGCTTTAAATGTATAAACTTTAAAGTCTTGCAGGGCTTCACCTGGAGATATCATGAAGAGAGAACCCACCATTTCTTAAGGCACCAAATCATATAGAATCTATGTAAATTCACAGGTAATTCATCAATAGAATACCAAAATTAGTAGGAAAAGAGGAAATTACTCTCTTGTATACCTAGTATATTTCCTGTCGAAGTGTTTATCAGAGCAAATATATTCATCAAAGAAAAAATACTTTTTAGTAATAGCAGAGAAAAACAGTGAGCAGAAATCTCAATTATGCTTCTACTTATACATAGAAGCATAGAGTTATTGCTAGAAGGATCCTTAGGAATTATTCAGTTTCACCCCTTCATTTGACAGATGAGGAAAATGAGGCACAGAAAGGTAGGAAGAGGCCTTAGTGATTATCTAACCTAATCCCCCATTTTACAGAGGAGAAAACTAAGGACCAAGAAATGACAAGTCCAAGATTATACAAATAATAAGTAGCAGACCTGGGACCTAACATAGGTCCTTGGACCACAAATGGATTTCCAGATTCTTCCTATGGAACTAAATACAGGAGAAAGCCATGCACATCAAATTCATCATATCATTACATATATTCTATCAAAACAGAAACCCTTCATTTAATGAGCAAATAATTAGATTTTAGAATAGAAACAAACACAAAACCATAATTAATACATTTGCTGACTATTCTTCCTTTTCATAAATGTTAGCCCAGCTGTAATTCTTTTTCTTTAACAGTAGAATGTAAGAGTGTAAGGTCCTTAAGTGCAGAAATTATTTTCATTTATATCTGTATATCCAACAGGGTCTGACACTCTTACATTCTGCTGTTAAGGAAAAGTCAGTACAAATCAGAGGGGAAACCTGAACCCAGGTGCTTAATAAATGCTTGCTGAATTGTATGATGCTTAATAACTGCTCGCTGAATTGTTTTCAACTGAACTGAATACATCCAGAGTCATCACGACAAACACATTAATCGCCTGCTATGTACAAGGGAAGAAGCATTGCCACAGTGGGATAGAGGACAAGCCTAAGAATCCAGAAGACCTGGGTTCAGGTTTCCCCTTTGATATGTACTGATTTTGGGATCCCAGACAGCGCCCCATACAACTCTCCGAGACTAAGAGTTGAAGAGTAGGTGCCATTTTGCATCTGTAGAGAGCATTTACTATGTCCCAATGAAATCACAGATCCAGTATGAAAAAAAAAAATTACAGGTTTTGTTCTATCAACTGCCTGGAATCAAAGCATCCTTAGGAATAATCTCTTATTATTCCTAGAACACCTGAGTAAGTTTCCTTTCACAAAGAACACATTGATCCCACTACAGTTACCATTCCCTTTATCCCATTTATATCCTATTTTTTCTCAGTCTCTTCTGCTCTCGCCAGATTCCGTACATTTATACAGCACTTTCCAATCTATTATCTCACTTAGTTTCACTAGGAAAAGGGAACACAAACATTTGCCTGCCACAAGTACACAGAGGCAGGTCTATACGAGCAAAACTTTTCCATGTGTCCCCCAT